AGTTTATACCGCCACAGTCCAAGAAGCAGATCATCTTGATGCAATGAATAAGTTTCGCAAAAATCGTCCATGTCCTGTTATATTAAATGTCTACCAGTAATTCAGACGTTAGCTCAGGCAGCCAGGTGCGTTCTGTTGCAGCGCAATATTGGTCAATTTCAGAAACGTGATCCACAAAGCTGGTCATGTTGACACAGTGAAGAATTTTCCCATTTACTGAATAGCGAGCTCTATTCATTGCAGGTAGTTTGGGGACTCGACGATTTTATTATGTAAGTGTTTTTTGTTTCTGTGCCAGGAAACTTTTTGTTGTTTATTTCTGTAGTATTTGGAAAGCAGCATATTCCCACTGTTATGTTATGATGTGAATTCCTTGGCCTGAAGCGTTGTCTGTAGATGTCTGCTTCACTGTCTTCATGTTCTTTGGATAATTTGTGGGCTCTGACATCTGTTGTGATCAAAAACTCCACTTGGTTTTACTGCCACCACTGACTCAATGTTGTTACTTTAGTGGATGTTTGATACTGGGGATGGTTCGATGTGGAGTTTTTTTTGTGTTTGCTAATACTGATATTTAGATCTAGGCCGATACGATACATACCTCGATACATGGGCCATGATACGATACATATCTCGATACATAGGCCACGATACGATACATATTTCGATACATAGGCCACATACGATACATACATCTCGATACATAGGCCACGATACGATACATACCTCGATACATACAGGCCATGATACGATACATATCTCGATACACAGGCCACGATACGATACATACCTCGATATATAGGCCACGATACGATTCATATCTCGATACATAGGCCATGATACGATACATACCTCGATACATAGGCCATGATACGATACATACCTCGATAGATAGGCCACGATACGATACATATTTCGATATATAGGCCACGATACGATACATACCTCGATAGAATAGGCCACGATACGATACATATTTCGATACATAGGCCACGATACGATACATATCTCGATACATAGGCCACGATACGATACATACCTCGATACATAGGCCATGATACGATACATACCTCGATACATAGGCCATGATACGATACATATCTCGATACATAGGCCACGATACGATACATACCTCGATATATAGGCCACGATATACGATACATATCTCGATACATAGGCCATGATACGATACATACCTCGATACATAGGCCATGATACGATACATACCTCGATACACAGGCCATGATACGATACATATCGATGCATAGGCCACGATACATAATACATAGATACATATACGATAGGCCACGATACGATACATATCTCGATACATAGGCTACACTACGATACATACCTCGATAAATATTCCACGATACGATACATACCTCGATAATATACGATACATCATAAATATTCCACGATACGATACATACCTCAATACAACGATATGATACGATATATTTCAAATTGATTCAATACGGTTCAATAAAAAATAACTTCTAAATCATGGCTGTGATACTAAGTCTTTGTTAAACCACATATTTTGGAAAGTTAATATGAAAGACAAACATTTTAATCGTCAAAACAGTGAAAATGTCAAATGTCGCATAAACAAGTTTCCTTCCTCTGAACAAGCAAAACTGTAGCGACAAAACAAAATAATTTAGTAAAATATACCAAAAAAATACTCTTACAGCAGCCCACGATATATCAATACTGTATCATCACATTAAACAATACGATATATCGTTATTTCTATATTTTTGAACAGCTCTACTGATATTAAGCTTTTAAAATTGTCAAGAAGGACCACATTTATGCAAGCAATGTTATAATGTTGTTACCTCCTCAAAAACACGCCCGGAGTTGTTTTGTTTCATTCACACGTGTTTGAGTAATCCTTAATTATTAGTCTGTCCACAAATGCTCTGTTCCACCTTGTGATGTCGTGAAGCAGTAGTTTTCAAGTTAACAGCTCCTTTTACCTTTTGTTTAGTGGAGATTGGCAAGTCCAGGACTGAAATTATCCAAATTATTGTAGTGAAGGTGTTTGAAGTTTACAAACACAAATTTACAATATTGGTCCAAAACCGATATCTGGGGTACTTCTCCGTGCGATACGACTCTTTTATTGCTCAGTCAGGATTTCCAGTTTTATTTTGTCGTACTAAAATATTCAAACTTTAAATATTTAACATTTAATTATTGTCATTTAATACCTATAACTGTCCTTTTATTAATGTTTGTCTTTTTAAAGTCCGATCTAAACTCCAAACACATGATTTTCCGGACAGAGCCTTGACTGTAGACCTCTGTATTAAAAAGACCCAAGCTGATCATTGATAATTAAAGATGACAGAACCTCGATCTCGATTAAAATGTGACTAATTACCCAGTCCTACTCAGAGCCTATTTAGACTGAAGATTTATGCTGACGGTTTAAAAATGGTTGCGCTTCTCGTGGTTCTCAAGAGGGTTTTTTTTTCTTTGCATTTTTTAGTCTAGTAATTGGAATTATATATATTTTAAAAAATCACTTTGATGGTACAGTATGTGTGTCAGTCTGAAAACATGAAGCAAGTATGATTATAGAGAGACAGAGGGAGGGAGGGAGAGACACGTGGAAAGAGAGACACACGGACACAGAGAGAGACAGAGAGGGAGAGAGAGAGAGAGACAGAGAGAGATAGACAGAGAGAGACAGAGAGAGAGATAGACAGAGAGATAGACAGAGAGAGAGAGATAGACAGAGAGAGAGACAGAGAGAGAGAGAGAGAGAGAGAGACACAGAGAGAGAGAGACAGAGAGAGAGAGACACACACACAGACAGAGGGGGGGGGAGACATAGAGAGACGGACACAGAGAGAGAGAGAGAGAGAGAGAGAGACGGACACAGAGAGAGAGAGAGAGAGAGACGGACACACAGAGAGAGAGAGAGAGACACACAGAGAGAGAGAGAGGACACAGAGAGAGAGAGACGGACACAGAGAGAGAGAGACGGACACAGAGAGAGAGAGAGACGGACACAGAGAGAGAGAGAGAGAGAGAGAGAGAGACGGACACAGAGAGAGAGAGAGAGACGGACACAGAGAGAGAGAGAGAGACGGACACAGAGAGAGAGAGAGACGGACACAGAGAGAGAGAGAGAGACGGACACAGAGAGAGAGAGACGGACACAGAGAGAGAGAGAGAGACGGACACAGAGAGAGAGAGAGAGAGACACAGAGAGAGAGAGACGGACAGAGAGAGAGAGACGGACACAGAGAGAGAGAGAGAGAGACGGACACAGAGAGAGAGAGACGGACACAGAGAGAGAGACGGACACAGAGAGAGAGAGAGAGACGGACACAGAGAGAGAGAGAGACGGACACAGAGAGAGAGAGAGACGGACACAGAGAGAGAGAGACGGACACAGAGAGAGAGAGAGAGAGAGACGGACACAGAGAGAGAGAGAGACGGACACAGAGAGAGAGAGACGGACACAGAGAGAGAGAGAGACGGACACAGAGAGAGAGAGAGAGACGGACACAGAGAGAGAGAGAGAGACGAGAGAGAGAGAGAGACGGACACAGAGAGAGAGAGACGGACACAGAGAGAGAGAGAGAGAGAGAGAGACGGACACAGAGAGAGAGAGAGAGAGAGAGAGAGAGAGACGACACAGAGAGAGAGAGACGAGAGAGACACACAGAGAGAGAGAGACGGACACAGACAGAGAGAGAGAGACGGACACAGAGAGAGAGAGAGACGAGAGAGAGAGAGAGAGACGGACACAGAGAGAGAGAGAGAGACACACAGAGAGAGAGACGGACAGAGAGAGAGAGACGGACACAGAGAGAGAGAGAGAGAGAGAGAGAGACGGACACAGAGAGAGAGAGAGACGAGAGAGAGAGAGACGGACACAGAGAGAGAGAGAGAGAGAGAGACGGACACAGAGAGAGAGAGAGAGAGAGAGATGACGGACACAGAGAGAGAGAGACGGACACAGAGAGAGAGAGAGAGAGACGGACACAGAGAGAGAGAGAGACGGACACAGAGAGAGAGAGACGGACACAGAGAGAGAGAGAGAGAGAGAGAGAGAGAGACGGACACAGAGAGAGAGAGAGAGAGAGAGAGACGGACACAGAGAGAGAGAGACGGAGAGAGAAAGGCAGAGAGAGAGAGAGAGACAGACAGAGAGGCAGAGAGAGAGAGAAAGAAAGGCAGAGGGAAAGAGAGAGAGAGACAGACACAGAGAGAGAGGGAAGGGGGGCACACAGAGAGAGAGAGACGGACACACAGAGAGAGAGGAGAGAGAGAGAGACACAGAAAGACAAAGACAGAGAGAGATGGACAAAGATAGAAATAGACAGAGAGACAGACACACATACACAGAGAGACAGACAGAGAGAAGGACTGAGGGAGAGAGACAGAAAGAGGGAGTCAGACAGACACAGAAAAAGAGAGAGATAGAGGCAAAGAAAGAGAGATACAGACAGAGAGATACAGACCGAGAGATACAGACAGAGAGATACAGACAGAGATCAGACCAGAGTACAGACTTTAATCAGACAGAGCAGCGCATCATTAGATGTTAAAAGTGTTTCTTAAAATGTTAAACTCAGCTTCTCAGCGCCTGCAGTTGGAGGAGTATTGGAGGAGTATTGGAGGAGTATTGGAGTACTGGTTGGGAGGAGTATGATTTTTACTAGAAATGCAAGATTAGAAGATTAACCAAATCAAAATTGCAATATTTTTTTTTAAAACGTCTGTCTACAAAACCTGCCGACCCTGCAGTTCGTATCTCCATAAACATTTTTGCATTCGTTAAGCATTTCATATTTTGGTGCCTTTTTAAACTTAAAAGCGTGTGAACAGAATGATGATTTTTCCATTCCAGGCTGCTCTCCTCTCGCTTACAGTGCACTTCCCTCGCCTGGGGTTACACGAGGCAGAAGGCTCTGTCGTTGGCGCGCGTGCCCGGTCTACTGTAGCTCACATCACCTCTATTTGTGTGCTCCCAGGTGGTCGTTCACACCAAAGACGGAGAGCGCCTCTACCGGATCTCGCCCTGGGCCAAGTACGTCACCCAGGAGAAGAAGGCTGTCATCTACGACTGGGTGCACTGGGACCCGCCTAACCCTTACAAAGTGAGTCCAAACTGCACAATTCTGCACTGCATATTTCCTCCCTCAGTACGGATATATTGTACTATAAGCAGCTCTTGTAGTATTGTCAGGATACTAAAATTCTGATACCACTATTATAATGAAAAAAACACTTTCTTTAGACAATAGAATATGATTTTTAGCATTAAATAGTATTACTGGGTCAAGCGGTAACAGAGGGAAACAGGGGCAGATCTTTTGCATTCAAATAGCTCTTATTCAGAAACTAGAGGGACTATTGAAATAAGTAAAGTATCAGAATGTAGGAAAGAGTTACACTCCAACAGGGTAAAGTTAAACCTGTGATATTCTTTCAAGTTGTTGACACAAAATTTAAAAAACTCATGTCGGTAACAGAGGGAATGAAATATGCAGCACTTTTTGGGCAATAAATACAAACAGTGATAACTAGCGGTTCTCACTTACATATCCTTAACAAACTGGTTTGAATATTTGCTTCATATAGTTTTCTACCATATGGTACAAGATTAGGTTGAAAAAACTCTTACTTTTTGAGTAATGAGATTTTTTATTAAGAAAAGTCATGGTAACGGAGGGAAAATTAACGGAGGGAAAATTGTGCAAACAAGTAGAAGGTGCATGATTTTGCATAATTTGTCAACTTTTTTCTTCCGGAACTATTTCTATAAAATATGTCAGTCCTTCCAAGCAAATTTTTATCATTTTAAATATAAAAAAAATAAAATCATGTACCTTCATCAACAGTTCAAAGATGGAATAACACAAGATATGATGAAATACATCCATTTATTTACATGATTTGCAGGTCTTTGAAATTTGGGAAATAATTTTGTTCCATGTTTCATACATGGTCTGTTTAAAACATGTAACTTTAGAACCAAAAATGATACAGAAAAAAGGTAAATAGTTTCATAAAGTAGAGTAAATATGCTATCTGTTGAATACATTTTTATATCAGATGCATTAACTTGAATTTATGGCCTTGCTGTTTACTTCTACCCTACTTTCTTTTATATTACCATTTGGTTTTATCCGTGTAATCCCTCAGTGGTCCAGAAATGGTCCATGGGCGTATACTAGTTTATTTGCTCTTATACTCAAGATCATTTTAAAACTCTTCAGGAAAGGTTCATTTCTGTCCTGTGAATGCGACTTTTTTAGTATTGAATATCTACTTCCATATTAGTCCATTTGCAGTACTTTTGACAGCCCTACTCTTGATCAAAATAAGCTTGCTGTGTACTGTTTTCAGCTCATTATAAAGCTTTTTGGTCCATTTTTCTGAGAATCATGAAATGCACATTAGCATGCTAGTTGAATTTAACATTTCCGTATTGTTAAAACTCTGCTCTGGTCTCTGAAAGTTGTGAGAAGCGCTTATAAACTCACTGCAGTGAATAATTGGGCTGCGTGGAATGCATGAGATAAGTGAGGAATACATTTTTGGACCACTGTTAAGAGTTTAAAATGAAAAATGAAACTGGTTCTGTTTTTTACGTATTTAAGATTGAAAAAAACAGGTACATCGCCTTTTAGAGTGACAAGCTCTGTGTACTTTTCCAGTCTATATAAACAAAAGTGTCACAAAACAATACTTAATTATATTTCTACTCTTCGTAATTTTGATTGAATTGTTTTGATAAAAAATAGTGATTTCAATTTAGTTGTTTTTTTTAAAGGTTCTATATTATGCAGAATTGACTTTTGTGAGCTTTTAGCCTTGTTCTATTCCTGTTACCTCCTTAAAAACATACCTAGAGTTGTGTTTTGTTAAATCCACTCAGGAGTAACCCTTTATTATTTGTCTTTTCTACATCTCCAAAGGTCAAAATGCTCTGTTCCACCTTATGATGTCATTTGTCAAGTTAACAGCTCCGTTTAACTTTTGTTTAGTGGCGATTGGCAAGTCCAGGTCTGAAATGATCCAAATGATTCTAGTGAAGGTGTATGGAGTTTAAAGGGATAGTTTGGGTTTTTTGACATGAATCTGTATGGCATCTCCGTCAGCAGTGTCGTGCATCTACACTGACTTACCCCCGACAGCGTCCGGTGAGCCGAGATCCTGGTTTTGGTGCTGACGAAAGTAGTCCGGCAAGTTGGCTGGGGACACGTAAATAAAGAGTTTTTCTTCTCAAAACAATATGTGTTCAAAAGAGTGATACATTTGCATCACAAAACCTTCGTCCTCAAAAAAGTCAGACCTTATAATCGCTTTGCACTATTTTCTCTCCGTTCGTATCACTGCGCGCTGCCGCCACGTGACAGCCACGCCTGGTTCACTTTGTTTACTGCTCGGAATGTTAGCGACAACATGTCTGATTACGACACCAACGAAGAAGACATTACTTTTAGCACAGAGCCAAGGGGATATCTTTATGAACGCGAATATACTGATGCCGAAATTCACCGAAATTGGAAGCACGACACTGCTGACGGGGATGCCATACAGATTCATGTCAAAAAACCCGAACTATCCCCTTAACTCTTTCCCCCATGAAGACGACATTTGACGACCCCCCCTGAACCCTTAATGACGACTTTTGACACCTCCGCCGTATCACTAAAGACGAGATTTGACGACCTTTAGAAATGGCTCGGGTTTTCACATTTAAACAGAGACTGTGATAGGTGGAAGCCACTACAACCCACACTAGACTGACCAATAGGATTCAAGGATATGTTTTCGCAGATTTTTTCCGAAGTTAATCGAAGTAGTGAGGATGGTAGCTTCCGGAAAAAACACAACACGAAACACGTGCAATGGAAAGATCACGGTGCTGCGGCGCACAGTTTTAGAAATAATGAGGAGCGGACGTATTTTATGGATAAGTTTAGAGAAAGTGACTTTTATAGATTTCAAAGTGATGATGTTGAAGTTGATTATAAAGTGGAAAACAGCGACAGCGACGACTTTCGGGAGAAGGTGAGAATGCCGCTGATGCGTCTGTGTGGAGTCCTGCGATGTCCAACAAACTATCTGAGCTTTATACTCGATTATGAACCAAAATTGCCCTGAAATCTGGATGTTGCCCAGGCCAGTCCTTTAAAATATTTCAGTCTTTTTTTTCCAAGATGTGATGTATAACAGAATCGCTACAGAAAAAACGCTTATGTGGAGCTCTGCACACGAGAAAGTAACCAAGATGACAAATACTGGACACACACTGACGGGGAAGAGTTTTATTATTATATTATAATAAGCTAAATGAGTTGAATAAGTTAAATGAGTTGAATAAATAAAATAAGTTGAATAAGCTAAATGAGTTGAATAAGTTAAATGGAAAAAAAATTATTAGGTGCACACAGGTGAACAACATGTAAAAACAGGTGTACACTTGGCTATACTGTATCTGGTGATATGAAATCTGTTTAAATACTTTGACAAAGTATATTTTTTATTTTTTTTATGAATATAGTACTCAGAACATGCAGATATCAGATGCTGAATGTAGTTTTTTGTTTTCGAGCTTGCACCTGACCAGGTAAACTCTCATTTTCAGTGAACTGTTATACACCTATAAATGAGTTGAATCACATTTAAACATCCATAAATGAATAGTTCAGAGTCTAAGGTTTCCAGAGATACAAATATGTCTGTGTTACAATTAAGTTCATGAGTGTAAAAATCATTTATAATCACTCGTGGAAGGCTATTTTCTTTTATGCAATTATGCTCTATGGGCAGCCCTAGTAACATATGTATGGGTTGTTCCTAGTAGGCGTCCAGGGGGGAAAGAGTTAAAAACAAAATAAAGCGCTTCCTGCATTACCACATGACATCACAAGGCGGAACAGGAGAAACTCAACCTAAATATGCAGGGCTTGTATGTTTAAACATGTGAGAATGAAACAAAACACAACTCCAGGTCTGCTTTTTAATGAGGAAACATTTCAAAATCACATAATATGGGCCCTTTAAGGTACTGCAGTATTAAAATGACATGATGTAAATAAGGTGAGGATGAGAGGAGGTTCCTGTAGGTGTAGACGAAGCTAATTTATTCCACTGGGTCTGTAGAAAATGCTGGACTTCGCACACTTTTTATGAGTTATGGTCGTCATATATAGGTCCATCCCATCACAAATAATATAAACAAGCAGGAATGATCAGTCTGAAGTCTCTGTTTATTAAAATGTTCCTCATCTTTCAGAACCGCTATAGGGTGTAAGCTCTCGTAGATATGTGGGCTTCAGCGTACTCCTTTTGTGCTTTGTATGACATTTCCTACTTGTTTGTAGTGGGAAAGTCAATACGAATGAATGAAGGCTACTGGTGTCCGACATAACCATGGTGCAAAACATCATAGGCTATGTTCAGACTGCAGCCTGAATGGCCCAAATCTGATTTTTTTTGCCCCTATGTGACCTGTATCTGATCTTTTAATGACAGTCTGAACGACACAGATCAGATTTTTTTCAAATGCGACCCAGGACACTTGGATATGTGCTCCTTAAACAGATACATATCCGATCTTTTGACATGTCTGAACGGCCAGGTCACATTCATCCCACCTACACGTCAGGCTCAGAGTCTAGTCAGTGGAGGGAAAGCGAGGTTAGCGAGTTCATTCATATTTGGGGGGGATCGCTGTATTCAGGCCAAATTGAAGGGGTTTTATAGGAACCGGACGTTTTTTGAAATAATTGCCAAAGAAATGGTCCAGCGTGGCTACAGGCGGTCCAGGCTCCAATGTCAACGAGAAAGAAAGAGCCTGCGAGACAAATACAAGGAGAATAAAGACTCAAACAAACGAAGCGGCCATGGACGTGTAACCTGTCCATTTTACAAAGAACTGGAACATATATTCAGAGACAAGCCCAGTGTTTAGGCGACTTCTGTTAGCACTGAGCATGCTCTCTGTGTGTGGCATCGTTGTGTCCTCCAATGCGCATGTGGGACTTTTGGGGCATTTAAAGTTATGAAAGAATGAGAGCCTCGCACATCAATTACTAGAGATGGGTGCGTTGGAGGAGAGGGAGCAGCCCAAGAACATGGAGAA